TTCAGCCAGACTGTCTTCGTAAGGCAGATGACCAGGATTCTTGCCCATCTTCGTAGCCTTCGCCTGCACTCGTTCCAGCTGTAGATAATCCTTCTTAAACCACGGACGCCATGTGGGAGCGACCAGATGCTCCGTAGATCTTTCTGAGCATTTCCTTATGAGTATGAACAAATTCTGGTCTTAGCGCAAGTAACACCTTTGTCGCGCGTTTATTTGTCTTGAGACACTGTGAAGATGGTTTAACCGAAGAGGTTATTAGCACACCGAGGTCCTTCTGTTTGTCAACATTTGAAGGGAGCTGCCCACCAAGAAGGTATTGGAAGGAATCATCCTCCTCACCGGTCTTTCTAGTACGGAGTCTTAAAAGCACACACTAACGTTGAAATTTAAGAGCCAACAAGTTGACCATCCAAACCACAGCTCTTAGTACGCCATGATAGTTTAAAGATATGCGTGTTTCTGGAGAAGACAGAGCCGTGGATCTGCATGCGTTTGTTCGACCTCAATCTCTTCCTTGTTTTGTGTCCTACTGGTTTGTTCATATCCAGCCGATCAGTGATGAGGTTGGATGCAGTGGCTGGTAGTGCCGTCAAACGTGTGCTAACTGCATGCCTGTAAGGTGCCTTAAAAACACATGTAGGGGAAGCGATTTCAGCTGGTGATTGCCCAAACTGCGATGTTAATCGCGTCTTCACGGTTCCCTCTGCATTACCTCTCTGGGTTGCTAAGAGCAGGAGTACGTCAGATTGTACCTTACTCCCTTACATCTGTGTGTATCAGTGACTTCTTGATCATTTGATCCGTCGCAGTGGCTAACTTGGCACAACCCCCATGCCTCAGGCGTATGCGGCAGCAACCATGCAGCTCCTTTGGGCGTCCACCGAGGTCACTAATCTTGGTACACAATCAATTTGCTCTGCCCGCTGCTAAAACAGTTGCTTCTAAAGCTGCTGTGGAATACGGCTCAGCCGACTTAACGTGGGTTTTTAACAACCCATTCCGTAGGTAACTGCACACATCTTAATGTTCTACCCGCATCTGCCGAGGCAGAATTTCACAAACGCCTCGTTCTTGCTTTTTATTTCTGGTGGCTCCGTCCCCAACGGTCTGCCGTTTTGAAGGAAAACGCTGCAGAACATTATTTTGAACTTAGGGAGGTTCCTGTCTAATACGCCATCACTGTCCACGTACCTTGTACAATTGGAAAAATGTAGTCTTTGTCGTTATCTGACGGTGGACCCTGGGTAGATCAGGC